TTTTTTTTTTTTCTTCTCCGAGGTGGGAAAGGTGATTCGTCTTTAGCTCGGAACCCGCCCCAGGGCCGAACAGCCAACACAACTACAAACATCGGCTGCGTTTACGAGGGTACGGCCCAGAGTCGGACCTAGAGTATCGAGCAGACGAAGTACCACAATGTCATGAAATGATTTCCGCGTACAGATCAAAACACGGTCTGAGTATCGCGCTTGCTGGAAAACAGTCACCTGAAAAGCAGATCCACAACCGGAAACGCGATGATAGTGACGAAAGCAAGAAACCGAGCACGAACAAACGCGCCAAGCAACAATAGTCGAAAACGGACTCGACATGTAGCAAACAAAGCGTGAAACCAAGTACTCAGCGGAAAAGCAAAAGAGGACGAAAAGCGAATAAAAAATATGTATCTAAAATGCATTACACACGGTGAAAGGATTAGAAACCATTAAATTGGAAGCTATACCAGCGGTTGTTTTGGGTCAACCACTGGCAAGGAAAGTCAAGTACGCGATTCTAGATGCTGTTTGGGGTTACAACCAAATAGCATTGTTGATGAGTTGTGAAAACAACAGTCAAAACTGTTAACGCACCGTGTGCCTGTTAAATTCGTCCAGCAATAAAAAATTGCAACACCCAAGCGGGATGTATGGTCAACGAGAGCCAAACACCGCAGCAAGTCTAAACCTTGAAAGCAAGGGATTTGCAAATTGTCTCAAAAGACAATCATCTCCTCGTGAAGGATAGGAGACACGAGGACGATCACCAATCAAAGAGGTGTCGTCGGTTACTTACAACATCACGTATGAGTCTCGGGTATGGGCGGATCCCCTCGTTGTAACGTAACGCGTGTTTTCTCAACACGGCAGCGATGAGGAGGGGGCAACAATCATATTCACGAGCTGGGCCATACAACTAGGAGTAACCTAAATCGAAATCCACTTGCATTCCCTCATTCCCTTGAGAATGAGCGCCAAAAACCATATTTTCATAACGATGGATTTTCGGCGAACAAAAAGGGCGGCAATAATGTGGAAACCAGGATATAGGTATCTTCCCAGTAGTATGGATGCACATACAACCGTATAGATCCGGTGACCCCAGGAACGACGTTCTCGTGGTCTGAAGATCTTTACAACGAGAAGACCCTCCGTCTGCTGTGACCAGCCGGAGGGTAGAAGCGAGCCCAAAAGCTCACTCTCACCTTCCACCCTAGCAAGGCCGACTATCGTCAGCCACGCTTGGCCATTCCTTGCCACATTGCAATAAGAGCGAAATTACCTCCGTCGGTGAACGGTTACTCACCACTTCAGGGGCCTTTACTCACAACGGAGTAAGGGTATTCTCAGTAGTTCAAATATATCATTGTGTGAAGGCGTGATGTTTACTTGCTCTCTCTTTCACACACTCGACACGTTTCCGCATACCGTTTTTTTTGTGTGATGTTTTGGCGGGAAGACTGCGAAACCCGTACCCAACACTTGCAAATAGAAACATAACCTCTACAGCCGTTCGTGCCTGCTTGTGTGAGAAGCGAAATAGGTGGCGTCAGCGGCTCACCCTCTGTGCCTTTGCAAGCGTGGACGCCATGACTCTCAACCTGGTGGGCGTTGTACCTGCTAGCCATCGTATTTTTGGTACGTTTGTCTGATGTTCGTTGGAGCGAGAAATTGTCACAGACACTGCACTTAACGACACGTATGCTACTTGTTTCGTTGCTTCCTCGAACTCATACGCTTTTCAGGAACGTGCAGCTGGCTGAAGCACCGACGACAGCAGCCGCAGCGGCGCCCGTCGGCGACACCATGTTTCCTGGAGAGTCAGAGGAGTGGACAGATGGTTTCGATTGGGGTCTCGACGGTACGCCGGCTGAGGGCAAGGACAAGGGCAAGCGGAAAAGAGATCCGCTGGAATTGGAGCCACCGAACTTCCCCATGACGTTTGGTGGTGGGCAGAAACTCAAGCGGTACGATTTGGAATTCAAAGTAAACACCATTAAAGTACGCGACCATGCAAAGCCCGGTAGCGCAGGGGCCTAATGGAACCATCGGTGTGTCGTATGCGCAACGAGTGCTTGGGATTCCGGAGAAGACCACACTCTCAGCGTGGATAAAGATAGAACGAAATACGAGAAGCAGCTGGAAAAGGCAGACCAGCTCGGGGCCAAAGGCAAGCAACAAGCCCGGAGCGTAAAGTCGTTTAACACGCTGAGGGTTCGGTCAAACGCGGAGGCCGAGCTCGAACTTGTCGACTGGATCAACGATGTTCGTTCGAAAGCCATCTCTGCCCGCGTCTCTACAAGGATGATCAAGAACAAGGCGGCATCGCTTTACTCGCTTTGGTTCGGCCCGAGGCCTGCAGCGAACGACCTGGAGGGCAGTAGAAAGTACCGCAACAAGCAGACTCACTGGTGCACGTTTCTAAGAACCAATTGTCATTCCGGGCGGTTACCAGGCAAGGCCAAAAACTCCCTTTCGGGTGGCCTGCGATTGCCATGAAAGCCGTCGAGGAATGGAGGGCGCTTCGTCACGGAGAAATCGACGGTGGGGGAGGACGGGGCACGGGGGGGGGGCAGCGAGCAGTGCGCCTTCGAAGCCACCTCTGTTGTTCAAGGAGGAGCAGAGCTACAGCATGGATGAAACTGCTGTGTGGATGGAGGCCGCTGGCACGTCGACCGTGGCGGTGAGTAAAAATAGTGTTGCTTTGAATCATGTGCCTGTCTTGTCGTTTCTTGGCATTTACGTGCAAACGATGGGCATTGTCATGCCATATTTCTTGCCGTATACCTACTCAGTATCCAGCCAGTAAGGCTAGACGACGTTGGTATTGTGCTAATGCCGCGTTTGATTTTTCTTACCATTCGCTCCCATCATCACTGTACTGCAAAACCAATATGTTCCTTTGTGCGTAAGAGCTGTGATTATATCTACAAAATGAACTTTTTTCGTCGCTTCTGCTGTCTCTATTGCTTTTTGCTTTTCATTTTTGTCGTTCGCAGCACACCGGTCAGGAAGAGGTGGCCGTCAAAACCGGTGGAAAGGAAAAGTTGCGGATCACTGCCGTGCTTGCAGCGAACATGAAGGGCGGCAAACTCCCGCCGCTGCTCATCTTCAAGGGTAAGCCCACGGCGCCGGGAAAACCCCCCGCTACAAACAGCGTCGAACGAGAGTTCAAGGTGGGCAAGGACAAGAAGGGGGTAACATTCCCTCAGAGCGTTGTGTACGCCGTGGACGACAAGGCGTGGCACACGCAGCGCGTATTCAGGCATGTTTGGCTCCCCAAAGTATGAAGCCGGCGCCCGGGTCGTGAGGGGGTCCTGGGCAACTACCGTCAGCCGGACACGCTGCTATCGCGGGACGATTACACCGTGCACAAGACAACCCTGTGCAAGGAAGCGATGGACAAGTCCAACACAGCGCTGTTTTTCGTCCCCGGAGGCCTAAAGCCAAAGATCCAGCCTTGCGATGGACTTATCAACAAACTCTTCAAGTCCAACGTGTCCAAGCTGTACGACGACCACATGGCCTCCACCGACGCCATGCGCAACGACCGCGGCTACACGGAGCCCCCATCGAGGGGATTGCTCGCGCAGTGGGTGAATAAAGCGTGGGATAAGGTGGACCCTGAGAGCATCCGTTCGAGCTGGAGGAAGGCTGGCATGACCCTTGCCCTCGATGGGTCGAAAGACAAGGCGTGGGCCAACAAGGAGCTCAACTCCGACGCTCAAGGGAAACCACTTCGTGCAGACGGCGACGCGGCCGCTGCCGGCGTGGAGGCGGCTGGCCCATCGGAGGAGGGGGAGACGATGGAAGACTTGTTGGAGGTGTTGGAAAACGACGACGATGACAGCACGGGAGATGGCGAAGGCATCGATGACCCGGAGGTTGAGGTCATGGCAGACTTGCGGGGGGCGGACGTTGTTTGCATAGATTGAGTGTCTTGTCTGGTATCTACCTACCGTAGTTGCATGCATGGTCAAGTCAACCAAAGCTGCGATTCGAGCCAATTCGTCCTGTGTTTGATATGTTTCGGTAGTCGCTTGTCCTCTTTTGATGTTGTTTCTAGCTTTGGTTGATATGTAGCTGGCACTTGCTTGCGTCCTATGTAGTTTCAGCTTGAGTGGTGAACGCAAGTCTTGCAAGTCGTTGCGTCGTCCAGGTACCTGTGTGCTGTCGTTTTGTCGCACACAACACCGGCACAACCGCTATGAGCCATCGGTACTACGTGTTCGTAGTGTATGCGAAGAATTTCAAAGGATACTGCGACAATGCACGTAGGAAAGCATGTACGTGATGGAGTAGCGTGAGCCACCCTAGATGTCACGCCTGTTTTACACCCCATCACGCCCTTTGTAGGTGGATGCCTCCTTTTGATCACATCCCCGTAGGTAGGGTCCTGTGAGCGCGCTGCAACCACACGGGCGACATTAGCTATCACACCACCGGCAGGCCGGGTCCTGCGTGCGCGTTTCATCACACGGGTGAAGTTATCACACCACATTGTTATCACACCCCATTGTTATCACACCCCATTGTTATAACACCCCCTCGTTATCACACCCGCTTGTTGTCACACCCCTTGTAAGCCGGGTCCTGTGAGCGCGCTTCATCATACGGGCGACGGTATCACACCCCGTTGTTATCACACCCCATTGTTATCACACCCCCTGTTGGTGGGGCTCTGTGAGTGCACTTTATCACACGGGTGACATAAGATATCGCACCCCCTACAGAATACCACACCCGTGTGATAACTTTTGTCCCCCCGAAAATGTTATCACACTGGTCTGGTATCTTATACAACCTACGGTATTCAACCTGCTCAGTCACACTTCTGAAGTGATCTGCTTTATCACGAGCGGCGCCTGCGAATGAAAGCCTTTGCAAACTCAAGGCATCCTTGACCCTCCGATGATGGCGATTCTAACCGCTCCGCCTGCGCATTCAATTTTGTTCGGGTGTGGAAAACATGCACATGGACATTTTACAGTACTTCTGCCTCCGGTACTGATCATTGAATTTCGTCATGAGTACACACATAGCGGAGGCTGCGCCCGCCAGAGTGCGTCCCGGACGGTCACTAGGAAGCACCTGTTTCACCCGATATAGCTGATTTTCCCGTCCAGGATCTCTCCTTGCGCATTCTTCATAGTATGCCGGATGTACGTGCAAAACAAATCTACGAACACCGCCGGGATAGACCAGTCCAAGGGACTCTCCCGGAACCTCAGCTATCATTTTCGTTTTATTGCCTTCCCAGTAGCACGCTTAGACTATATTTTCATAATCAGTCGAAGAAGTGGAAACACTCAGGAATAGAAACCTGGGACTGGGGGCTCCATGTTTGTTTGCGGGTGAACGGTATGCGAACAACGACGATCGAAGACGTTTGACAAGTAGATGCCGCAGCAATCTGTTCTTAGACCTTTTTGCATCATTTTCACACAACAGAGCGTAGAATGAGTGATACAGACGGCAAGAGTCAGCCAGTGCATGGAAAGGTAAATCGGGGCATATGCATGAAGGCCCGTCGGCGCAAAACATCAGGTCTCCCAAGGTCTCCCACACTTTCTACATTATTCCCAAACGACCCATGGGACTTCCATGGGCACCCCGTGACAAGAAGGCCTATGGGTAGCGCATGGGCTACCCATGGGGTCACCCAGGCGCGTAGCCGCGGGTAAGCCCATGCGCGACCAATGAGAGCCCTCCGACCAAACTAGTGTACAAGCACTCATAATTAAAAGATTATCTGCTTTGGAACGGGCACTATAGCGGCCAATAACCCTGACGCTAACCGTAACCCTAACCCCAAGCCCACACGATACGTGCAAGGTTGCCGCTTGTGGCTAAGTTCTAGGTTGATGTGAAGGTGGCGAAGTTCTAAGTTGAAGTGCCCACGGTGGGCACTTCATGGGCCGCCCATGGGCCGCTCATGAGCATGCCCATGGGTGGGGCAGCCCATGGGCAGCCCGTCGGCAGCCTATGAAGTGCCCATGAAGTGCCTACGGGTGGCCCATGGGTGACCCATGGGTGACCCATGGGTGTCCCATGCGAGGCTTAACGAACCTGTCAGTATTGTGGGCGATTGGAAATATCAGGGGAGCAGTGTCTAGGAGTCGATTTCAAATAATTTGAGCCGTCCATGAGGATTTTTTGTCTTCTAGCCCGGGTTGGAGCGTATGAGTTGAGAATATACGACCGGACGGTGGGTGCGAACTCCGAGCGACCATCATTGATACAATGGCGCCTAAACAGCACGGGGAGCAGAAATGCAGCGGAGTCTGCAAGTGCGGATAGACCACAAACAAACATAGATCGGACCGACAGCTGAAAAAACTGTGTCGACGTGACGACACAAACGAAATTGCCTAGCACCACACGAGCAAAAATATCGCGGGCTACATGAGCTTCTTTTTCCTTGTTAGATGTGTGTACCGTTTTTTTTCCTGACTTATGTATGTTGCCAAAAAACGAACAAACAAGAGCAGCCGTAACGACAACAAGAGCGGCATACCTCGGCTCGTAAGGCTTGCACTTCGTTCTTGATACGCTCGGCTTTGTCATAGAACGCTCTGTCTCCGTACGTCCATGCCTCGTCCGCGTTCCACGTAAAGTCAGCCACTCCATAGTAGCCACCACCGTCGCATGTCGCCTGCTCAACCAGGGTAGCCATTCGGCATCATCAGTATTATTGTGAAAGCAGAACAAATCTTGTTGTGTTGGTCACGGAATGGTCACAACCGCAACAACAACAACGACAACAACAAGCACAACAACAACACTTGTGGCGGGGTGATAGACGATAGTTTTTCTGCATGAGTAGGCCTTGTTTTCCTTGATCCGACACACAGCCAGGGAGGCCCCCGGGTGCATGTTGGGAACCTTCGATTTCAATCTAGCATCAAGACGATAATCGCGTGGTCGGTTGATCGATTTGACGAAAAAGTGCGAGGAAGTGAACATCCTGTGACCACGATGGATCCCGAATTGCTGTCATCCAGGTGCGCCCGAACCAATAGCGTTCTACCGTTGGTTGGGTAGACAGCTTCGCGCGGCAGGGGTTGCCTATCCTGACCTCTAGCGATTCAAGCCTACCCTGTCCCAAAGTAAATATCAAGGGCAGAGGCTACTGTTTTACCTGCCTACTGTATTTCTCATACCTCGGGTACGAGACTGGCTGCGTTGCGTCCACTTGTTCAGTCGCAAGGGGGCTGCTGTTGGAACTGCTGCTTTGTGTTGGACCTTCAGGCCTGTCTAATGGGAGCTCGGCTTTACTTGGGAATTTCCGTCAGCGTTGGTCCAGACAGCGCGCCTTTCCATGGGCATTTCCATGCGTGTTGGAACCAAACAGTAGGCAAACCCTACTCTATCGGCCTCGAGATTCACGTGGGTGTACATCGGCCTCGAGATTCACGTGGGTGTACGTGGTCGGGGGGGTGTAAGCAGCTCCCGATTCACGCGCCCAGCTGGATGAAAGCGTCCCTCCGGGTGACCGAAGGTTGACCCAAGCGTCTACCACGCCCACCTGTCGAAGTACACACAAACACGAAAGGCATTTGTGCTTAGAGAACCGGCATTTGTGCTTACAGAACCCATCTATCCGACGTACTATCGGGCAATGAGTTGAATAGACCAATTGCGGAAAATTTTGGCGATGCCTACCGCTCCATCAATGATTGACGATTATCTCGACACACGTCGTTTGTCCATATTCGCTTGTGATGTACGAGACGCATCTGAGAATTGCTGGGATATATGACGCGACCGGGTGCGCACAGGGTGCTAGAAAAACTCCAAAACGGCCAAGAAGGATTGGTTTGGCGTGACGTACACTTCGCCTGTCAGGGCTCTACCGAAAATGGAACGCCCCACGGGCGATGAATATGGTCTGCGTCTGGTACTTGGCGATACAGGCTTTATAATTGTCCCTTCTTGTACGTTTAAGAATACATCTCACACCTGCACCTGAGAATGACGCGAAAACAATTGAAACGACCTCAAGGGTTTCGGAATGGATGGGGGAGGCAACCGAGTGAGAGGTTTTACATCAATGATCTGGGGATGGACCACAGGCGCACAGTCTAGCTCGAGTTCTGACGTCGTTCGGCACCGTTTACGTGGAACGTGCAAAAGTGAAGCGTACACAATACAAGAATAACGCACGATAATTGAAATGAGCCGTGTCTATTGGAAAAGGGGCTGTGATCTGTCGAGGGACTTTGTACGTTGGTTACGTTGACTAACGTGATACATTTTACGTCCAAGTTGTTTCTGTCCACTAAATGCCTCGTGGTGGCTGTCCAACCCGTACAAACGGCCACAAACAAAAAATGTTTCACTCACGTCCGTCACTCACGTCCATCGTGGAGACCCTGAGGGCGGCATTCTCTTTAGCTGTGCGGGGACAGCCGAACACCAGCCCCTGTGAGAGACAAACCATCTCGGCCGCGCTAAAGTACCCAGCAGCCCCGCTCGACACTACCCACTCGCCCCTCTCCCCTGAACCTGGAAAAAGCGAAAGAGTGGAGCGATTTAACCCCATTTGCACGGATTCCGGGTACCTGCGCGCGCCTGCGCAAAGAAAGTACGGGTACTACGAAATACGACCAGGGAGGGGGTGCGCAGACCCTAACCCTAACCCTAACCCGACCCCAACTTAGCCGATTCAATACTTTCTTCAGAATACTTGCGTACTTTAAAAAACCTGCGTAGCCTATTGTTGCGCTACCAACCATCTCTTGCCATGAAGATTGGCTGCACGGTATCATCCACAACAACGATATTTTGGGCGGCTCCTGGATTGGCTCGTTCTCAACAGTGTTGCAATGCTTGGTCGCTACGCGGTCTGGGTACCTTGTGGGTTTGGAGGTACCACGAGCTGTTTGACGAGAACGGCCTACTTGTCAAGAACAAGAGCAAGACCAACAAGGATCTCGATGAAGCTCATTCACTCACTATCGTTGCGGCAAGCGTAGGAGTGTATCTCCTCGCTCTCTTCCTCGCTGGTCGACGCACATTCGCTCGTCCACCTATGCGTGATCGAGACGAATGACACCGACGACAATCATTGGTCGAGACAACACGTTGTGGCCACCGCCAGAAACGTACGTGCGCCTGATGTCTCGCCACAAACGGGAGAGATTGTTGCGTGTATATCGTGTTCAAGTACGAGCTGCGGGAACGTCGTAGCTGCGGAAACGATGTTGACGCCTCAAGGATTTGTTGAGTGTGCGTTTTTCACGCACACGATTATTTCGGAGGGGGTGACGGGGATAAGGCTGTACGGAGACGGCGTAGGCTGAGGGCGGGGAGAAAAAAAACGCAACGAAAGGAAACAAAAGGCCAAAGGTTAGTTTCTGGTTTTTGGTGTGAACCACGGCAGTCGGGCGTACAACCGGCATATTAATTTCGCCGTGCACTACCCGAGCAGGGATGACTGGCTGGAGACATTGCGTGTCGTACGATGATTGTTCGACCACGCACAAATAAAGCGAAGATATATATATATATATATATATAGATAGATAGATAGATAGATAGAGAGAGAGAGAGAGAGAGAGAGAGAGAGAGAGA